AAAGATTAGATAATAGAACTATTAATAAAATTTGGAAATATGAAAGATAAATATTTCTGCCTAGAAAAATGAAAAAAAATTTTTTTTCTCATTTTTTTAGAAAAGAAATTTTTTTCTTCAGGAGTACATAAAATAAATTAATTGCATAATAAATAAAAAATTTATCAAACTTTGTTGCTTTATTTAATATTAGTTACCATCAGTTGCTATTAAAGAGTAAACGTTTTTTACCTATTACAGAATACAATAACCAATATTTTGTTCAGGGTAAAAGCTATATATCAACAAGCATGTGCTTTATATGTATTGTCTTTTGAAATTGAGATAAACAACAACATGAACTTTTATTTTTGTAATTTTTCTTCTTTCTACCTTTTTACACTTAGCTGTGCATAAAGGTGTAGTAAGTTAAAAGTTGTTCGTTTTTGTAATTAGTTTACTATATCAAAACACTTGTGGACATCAGGTAATAAATTTTTTCTTTCTAGCTTATTATGCTACAATGCTTTGTAAACTTTTATTACTATATATTACCAAAGCCAATCTATATCAGCTCTTGTTTACAATTGCTTAGCTGAATATAAAATATTTTTTTTGCTAAATGATAGGATTAATGGGAACTTAATTTAAAAAACTTATACCAAGTTAATAATATTTTATTGATATTATTTGGTAAAATTTTAAAACTATTTTTAAAAATCTATCCTAGAAGAATCACAGTATGGTAAAGTTTTACCATTTGGTTTATAGTTTGTTACAATCGTTGTTATTTTTATATTTTAGAGTTATAACCAAATAAAAACCATATGGAAAACAAATGTACTATATTGTACAAAATTGAATAGAAAAATCTTTTTTTTTTTCTGTTATTATTTGGGAATTACTCTAATTCACTTTTATTATTCAATACGTTTTTTAACATTTACTTGTTAACGATAACTTGTGACTTTGACATGTCGATAAATCGTTTTGCTTCAATGAAATCTCGCAGAATTTGTGTAAACTACCTGAAAAGTGAATTTTTTTCTAAATGCTAACTTTTGTAATATGTCTGCCAATGGCTTTCAGCATTGGTACTAGAATTAAAAAAAATTGGAGCAGGGTAAAAAAAAAAAATTGTAAAAAACGAGCGTCTGGAAAAAACAAAGGAAATTTTAACACCTTTTCAAAAATTTGAATTTGTGGTCCTTCTAGTGTTTTGGAACAAGCTATAATTAAAACTTTTCAATCATCTCAGTGTTTACAAAAGAGTAAAGTCAGACATCTTTGTTGTTTCCAGTAACATTAAAATAATTTAAATACTATTATGAGAATATAAGAAAGGATTATGAAACTTGATCTAGATTTAAACGCAACATAACATCAGTCTATCAGCAGAAAATTGTAAGAAAAAAAAAGCTGTATTACGTTGAGCTTACACTAGAGATGGTCCAAAATTCTATATTTCTTGTTTAACCAGTTATTCTTAATTAATTTTTTGAGAAAAGTTTAAAAAACAATTCAGTTTTTGCTAATTTTTTATGGTTGACCTTTTACTTCTATTTTAATAATTTAAAGATATAAAAAATAAAAGTCTTTGCAAAAGTTTAGGACTTTAGGACTTTGGCCCAACCCTGTAAAAAGGAACTAAAGGAAGCAAAACTACAATAAAAACAGCAATATTTAGGCAAAGAAAATAAATTTACAAAAATAAAGTGACAAAATAAGATTTAGTAACAAAGTTCTTGTGTACAGTAAATAAAATATAGGTACAAACTAAACAAGTATAGGTACCAAGTAAACAAAACAGTTTAGGTATAAAGAAAAACAAAAATGAAAAAAAAGTTTTAAAAAATTTAGTAAAAAAGTTCTGGAATTGAATAAATTCCTCTTTTCGAAATTTTCTTTGGTTCCTCAATAAAATCGACTATTTCAGACTGGGGAAAAAAAAGTTGCTCTGCTGGTAGTGACCATTTCCAATTAAGTCCATTTTTTTTCATAATAGTAATTTCTGCTCCATTTTTTCTTATTTTTTTCAACTGCAGAAAAAAAAATTTAAAAAGTTTTTATAAAATTTTTCAGTAGTTTCATTAAATAATATTAGTTATTAAATCAATTAGTTATAATGTTTACTAACTGATTAGCTAAATATAAATAAATCAAAATAAATAAACAAACCTGTCCAGGATTTAACTCTCCATTGCATTTAACAATTACATAACAATTCTCTACAAGATTTAATAATTTCTTCTTTTTACAAACATTTTTTGTTTTGTTTTACCAATATTTTGAAAGTTCTTTTTGCCTAATGCTGAATGATCTAAAGATTTTGTATGACTTTCTACAACTAAACTTACATCTGCAAAAATTAGATTAGAAGTCTCAGTAGTTCCAGTATTTGTACTTGGGCCAGCAAAATTAATGCTGTTGGTCTCAATTGTATTTATAATACTGATAGGTGTATCTACATTATTTGAATTTAATCTATTATTTTCATTTATAGCACACAATGATATATCTGTTGAACATAAGCTTTTACCTGGGACAGCACATACTTTACGTTGCTTTGGTTTTTTAGAACCATCTGAGGGATCATCTAGTGACTTACATAAATGATCTAAAAATGATTGGCTTACTAAATCAGTAGTTGAGTCTATACCTAGATTACAACATGGTAGTCGTGAAAGCACTTGAGACTTGTCTAATGGAAAAATTCCAGTTTTGCGAAAACTAGCTCTAAGGTTATCATTCCCATGTTCATTTATTTTGGTAATTAAACGGTCTAAAAGTCTCGGAAATTCATCTTTAGGAAGGCAAGCAACTCTCCTTCCTTTTCCTTTCTCCTTCCATTCACATAATATTTTGCGCCAGTTAATCTTCATAGGTCTAAAGTAGGCAACATCTAATGGCTGCGTGAGATGTGTAGAGTTTGCTGGTAATGCCACAAATCCTATGTTATTGCTTTGACATGCATCCAGTACTGCAATGCTCAAATGTGAAGATACGTTATCACCTATAATGAGACTTCTTCCTTGAGCCTTCTTAAGTCTTGGAAGAAGTAAAGAAAAAAACCAGTCCTCAAAACATGTTGAATCAAACCAACCACTTTTTGATCTGTTATAACGTGCTTTTGGTGGCCCATGTTCCATCCATGTATTCTATAACGACTCAGCTTTGTAAACAATATAAGGTAGTAGCAATTCACCATTAGCATTACCGCAAAACATTACAGAGAATGAGGTCTTTGTAGAATTAATGATGCGTTCAGGATACTTACATCCACGCTTTGTAAATTTTTTTTTTTACCTGGATCATCACTGAGATTGGTTTCATCATAGTTCCATATATTATCAGGTGATATATTACTTATTTCATTTGATAGATTTATAAAGTAGTTATCAATCACATTCGTTCCTATTTCTGCTCTCTTTCGCTTTATGTTGCTTGCAAATCTTACAGTGAGTTCTGGATTTCTTTTTAAAAAAGATCGAATCCAATCACCACCTGGAAAATTATTTTTGAACTGAGGTATAATGACGCCTTTTTTTTCTAAATACCTTTTTACTATGCATCTTAAATCATATTTATCAACAGGAAAACCAAACTCAGATGATTTTATTGCATATGTCTTAAACATGTCTTCTTCTTTTGATGTAAATATTTGCTGACCACCATACTTTTTAGGGTATGTCTGTTTTATTTTATTTTTTAATATTGATCTTGGTATATCGTATTTCAAAGCTGCTTGTCTTTGAGTAATTAAACCATTTTTTAAATCTTTTAATGCATTGTCTAACTGTTCTAAATTATAAGTAACATATTTTCTTCTTCCACGATTTGTCTTGTAATTTTGTGGCATATTTAAACTAAGAACTAAACAAATTTCACTATAATTTTATACTGATTTACTAATACAAACTGTTATACTAATTTTCTATTGCATTACTACTACAAAATTTTTCATTCCAGCATAGTAACTACCATAACATCTATAAATGATCACTAAAAAATGTTTACTCTAATACATGGTGTGACTTTAGCCCGGGCCAATGTCACCCTATGTAGTGGGCCAAAGACAACCTTTTTTTTTTTTAACCTCAATTACAAAAAAGGAATAAACTGTTAAGCTTTCAAAACAAGATAGAATCAAACACTAATGGTTTAAAATTAATTTAGTGCATATTCCAATAAAAAACCTTCAACAGGTACTGCTATCGATGTAAAAGTTTACACACCTAAAAAATGGATTTTAGGTGCTTCTTCTAAAGTGCAATTTACAATAATATCACAAAGACTCGAGTTAAGTAAACTGAATTAAACTAAATAAATAATAAATTTCCCACGATTTGCTTAACATACTAAACATCAACCGACATACCTTAAGGTATCAATTTAAAACCATTTTTAAACAAAAATTTCTGTTAAGCTAAAGTCATCCCGTAGGGCCAAAGCCACCCAATTTTACGGTACATGATTGTTGATATAAAAATTCAAACCTCCATCTTATGTCTACCAAAGAACATACTCATAACCTAGATGTTCTACAAGGAAAGTTCACACAGCAATCTCTATCACATATGATGACTTTTATAGTTATTTTCCATTTTCAATAGTAAATAACAAACTGTATGAATTATTTCATATAAAATGCTCAGTTTTTTTTGTTACATATAAATGATTTGGTATATTATTAATAAATTAAACAAAAAAAGATTTCTAGTTTTCTACTTTTCTTATATTTAATGATAATAATAGTTTCATCTATTTTTAACAATGCCTTTTTTTGTCAATATATTCACTTTTATTAAAATCGAAGTAGAAGGCTAAATAATTAAAATGAAAAAAAATGCTTATGATTTTCAGAATCAGCATGAAAAACTAATTAAGAAAAATTAGTTAAACTATAAAAAATTAAAAAAAAGACGATTATGGACTTACACTTAATTACACTTACACTTAATGAGATAACTTACACTTAATAAGATAAAAGAATAGAACGTTGTGATTGATACTTACCTGGTTTCTATATTGCTTGAAAGGTTTCGCAAAGTACCTTGACAAAAAATTTCTATTCGTCCTGACCAAAATCTAAGCACTTTAAGTAGTTACACGAGGTAAGTCTAAAATTGCCGTATTTACCAAATAAAAATTCGTGGATATTTTTTCTTGTAGTTTGAATACAAACTTCGAATGGTAATTTAACCTCAACAATCTTCGACTGGTAACTTAAACCTTAACGATCAAAATCAGCTGCATATATATATATATATATATATATATATATATATATATATATATATATATATATATATATATATATATATATATATATATATATATATATATATATATATATATATATATATATATATATATATATATATATATATATATATATATATATATATATATATATATATATATATACATATATATATATATATATATATTTATATATATATATATATAAATAAGATATATATATAATATAAATAATATATATAAAGAAATATATATATATATATATATATATATATATATATATATATATATATATATATATATATATATATATATATAAATATATATATCCAAAATTTTAGAATTAAAAATTTTCTAAATAGATCTGTACAGAAACGTAAAATATACATATTTGATATGTACGTTTATAATATGACATTATAAACATGCAAAATACATTTTTTAGCATAATGACATTATTATAAAAGTTAAGCTAATTTAGCCTAAACATTAATTTTATTTCTAGATTAATTTAATTTTTGTTTAATACACATGTTAGTGTTACAAGACAGTTTAAATTATTTATATTTGCTGGGAAGTATCGACTTATGTAATGCTTTTATCCAGTAAAATAATTTTTTCTTGATAAAAATAAAATAATGACTTTTATGCTTATTTAATGGCTAATAGCCCATTATAATAATCATATATATATATATATATATATATATATATATATATATATATATATATATATATATATATATATATATATATATATATATATATATATATATATATATATATATATATATATATATATATATATATATATATATATATATATATATATAACTTTTAATATTCTGTTTTAGGTTTAAAATCATTGTTTATTGTGTTCTGCTATTAATAATGAAAATCCATAAAAATGACAGATGTAAGTAAAAAGAAAAAGTTAGATTGTAAAGACTTATATGGCTACTTGCTGACACTCTCACCAAGTTCACTCAATGCTCTGTATAATGATCCGTTCACATGTCTTGCAGTTTTTAGAGGTCTTCCAGAATTAGCGAAACATTATATTATGCGGACTTTATTTACAAACCAATCTTTATCAGATGCATTTGTTTTATCATGGTGTAAAAAAGAATGGGCTAAAGATCATATAGAAGCAGTAAACAAACTGAAGGGATTACATATATGGGTTAGTTTTGAAATAGGAACTCCAATGTTACGGTATGAATTTAATATTACTTTTCAAACAAATTTAAGAATAGGACTTTGTGGAGGAGGTCCTGTTCAAGCAACACCTTTAAAAGCAGTTGAAGAAAAACATGCTCGGGATGTTGCATTTCTAGATAATTATTCAAAAGAAAGATGGGAATGTATTTTATATTATATGACTGGATCTCAAGTTACAGGAAATGCAGGCGTTAGTCAAGATGTTGCACGTGTTCTTATAAATGCTGGGTTACTCATTTTCGATCACCAGGAACAAGCAACTTGCATAACTTCATCAGGATTTCAATTTTTACTTTTAGACACCTCTTCACAAGTATGGTACTTTATGGTTCAACATTTAAACTCTATGGAACCAGAAATTCTTGTTCAATGTTTATCTTTCTTATTTCAGACAAGCTTTTCAGTTCTTGGCAAAGATTATCCAGTTAATGACTTAACAGAAGCTCAATTTTCATTTTTACAACTATTACGTGAAATTGGCTTAGCTTTCCAGCGTAAAAGAAAATCTAAACGCTTTTATCCAACAAGATTGGCCATTAATCTGGGCTCAGCTGTTACCGGTAATAGTGATTCTAGTTCACAACAGCAAGGTTTTTTAGTTGTTGAAACTAACTATAGGGTATATGCATATACTGACTCAGTTCTTCACATTGCTTTGCTTAGCTTGTTTACAGATATTAAAGCACGCTTTCCAAGTTTTACTGTAGCTTTACTAAGCCGTGAGAGTGTACAGCAAGCATTAGCATGTGGAATATCTGCTGAACAAATAATTGATTTTTTAAAAACTCGAGCACACTCACAAATGACAACTAGCTCACCGATTATAGCTTCAACAATCACTGATCAGATAAAACTGTGGGAAATGGAAAGAGACAGGTTGCGTTATTCTCAAGGTGTTTTGTACAATCAGTTTCTTTCACAAAGTGATTTTGAAATGCTGCGAAAGTTTGCAGATGAAAAAAATCATTTATTGTGGGCAAATAATCAAAAACGTTTAATGGTTGTATCTAAGTCTGGTCATGAAGATGTAAAAAAATACTGGAAGCGTAATAAACCTAGCTAGCTTAAAATTTATAGGTTATAAATTTGATTAGAGTTTTCTAATATTTTTACTCAAGTTTTTTTTCCTTCAGCTATTTCTATTTTTATTTAATCATATCAAATTTTAAATTTTGGTGTTAAAAAATATAAAAAATGTTTATAATATATTTAAGTTACATTTAAAACAGTTTTACCTCAAAAAGCCCTGTTTACATTTGTGTCCTGAACTTCACATGATGATATACATTTTATTTATTGGATCCTAATTTCATACATTAAAAAGGAGTCATCTAGTTTAATATTTTTGTCCAGGACACAAAGATTTTAGTTATTAGCATTATCTTTATTTGCGTTTTAAGTTCATTAAATTTATTTAATGAGCTTAAAACGCAAAAAACCTGAACTTTTGAAATTTTGTTCTTCATAGTCATAAAATTGAAAGGTTCAACGCATTTTAGTTCTTAAAATTTTATCATATTAATCTTGTTTATCATATTAATCATGTTTGACCCGTCTAATTTGTTAAAGTTTATTAGTTTATTATGCACCTTTTAAAAAAAAAATTGTTTTTGGGTATTACTTTTATATATATGTTTCAAACTTCATGTTAAAATTAGGGTTATTTAATTTTGCAAAAGTTGAGTTTTTGATTAGAAAAAAACTTTTCGAAACTCTATTTTTCTTCCGGTAAGTTTGAAAAGATTTCTAATTACTTAATTTTGAACCGAAATGAATTTCGCTTTACGAAATTCAAGATATTCTATCGATACATTTTTTAAGTTTTGAAATCCCAAAAATAGCTCCGAAACAATTTTTCATTTTCGAAACTTTGAAAATTGTATCGAAATATATTTACATTATCGAAACAATTTTTCACTTTCGAAACTCTATAATTCGTATCGATATATTTTTATATTATCGAAATTCTTAAAACGGCACCAAAACATTTTATCACCTATATTTTGTACCAAAAAAGTTTTATACGATCGAAATTTTAAAAATGGTGCCGAAGCAATATTTTTGAATCTCTATAATTTGCGCCGAAATATTTTGATATCGAAATAATAAAAACTAACTTTTACTTACGAAATTCTTAAAATCACTTTAAAATATTTATTTTATTACAATAATTTTAAAAACTGCATCTAAATGAATATTTATAATAACAAAAAATTAAAATTCGGGCAAATTTGCAAAACGAATAAATAACGTTATTCTAAGGGCCTGTTCATATCCCGGTGGGAAATAAGCGAGCGACTAGCTAGCTTTATAGCGATTTTCAAGCGATTTTTTTTTCCTATTTTATTTTTTCCTATTGTCTTTAACATCTTTAAAAATTCGATTTTTAGTTTTGAGTCTATTATAATTATGAGAATAATTGAACTTTAAACATTGCGATATTGTAGCAATGTGTGACTAGCTACATATCGTTACTTTGAAGTTAGCTACAAAACATCTACAAATCTATAGCCGGTTGGTAGCTACATATCAAAATTTTTTAGACAGCGATTTTATTACGGTATGACTTGAGCTACAATAGCCAGTGGGTTTTTAGCTTATTAAGCAACCTGTCCTCGAAGCTAAACCTGTCCTCGAAGCTAAACCGCTGTCTTTATCTCTACAAATATCGATAGCTTTTGCTAACCTAAAAAAGCTAGCGATCCTCGCACAGTGGTTTATTTTTCACTTTTTGTGGACATTTGACTATACTTAGGAAAAATCTCTTTTTGCGAAATGGAAAAACAAAACATGGTCATTATATATGTTTTTAGCTTAATTTTTGAAGTTCCATCATTAAATAATACTCCTGAGGGCATACCATAACTCTAGGAAACCAAAATAACACACTGCAAAATACCCTAAAAAAAGTCAGTAATAACATTTTTTCAGATCGGTATACATAGTCAAAATTCATGTTTTAAGGGTAACCTTTCAAGTTTTGTCCACAAAAAATACTCTTATGTTCATCACCATGATTGCACTATAGACTCTAGGGACACCTAAAGGGCACTTTAAAGCATGGGTTACAAGATATAATACAAGATTCTTATATAAACTCTAAATACATGTTTTTACGTCAGTTTGATAAAAAAATATTCCGCTAACCCATTAGTTGGATAAAAAATTTTAAATCATAAAAGTATTAGATTGGGGGAACAGCAATACCCTAACTCAGAGTCTACTCAAAGCAATACCCTAACTCAGAGTCTACTCAAAGCAATACCCTAACTCAGAGTCTACTCAAAGGCCACTTATAACTCAAATGGGGAAAGAGTCAAATGAAATTATCCAATCTCTTTCTTTATTTAACGAAGACATACAATATATGAAGGAAGACGGAATTATTGTTAAGCATAATCAAATTGATTACCATGTTAAAGTAAACATTGTCGCTCATAGTTTAGACAGAAAGGCTTCAAATATTTATCAAGGTCTTGGAGGTTCATATTGTGATCTTTGTGACCTTTCAAAAGAACAATGTGAAAATATACAAACAGTTCAAGATGGTTTCATCATAAATCCATGCAACAAATATTTCTTGACTTAGTAAATGAGAACGGGACCATTTTGAAAGAAAAAAAGGATTACAAAACTCGACACGGTCAAACTACATGTCCAATTGCATGTTCGAATATTAGGTCCATTCAGGTTTTACATGGTTTGCTCAGGAGCTTTGATCATTTTATGAATGTAGTTGTTCACATGGCGGCAGGTGTCTTAACTTGGAAAGAATCTAAGTTAAAAAATAACACAACATTGCTGAAAGAAGAAAAAGCAAGACTACAAGAAATTATCCGAGTTAAAACAGGAATAAAATGGGATTTTGCAGAATCAACCGGACAAAAGGGCAATATAACAACTGGAAATGTTGCCAGAAAACTTTTACATAACAATGTAATGCGAATGGTTATTACAGATCACATATTAAGTCAAACTGACCGCAAACTAGTTGAAAAGTATGGCTTGCTTCTTTCCACTATTCTGAGAGCAATGTCATCTGGCAAAAAGATTAATATTGAGCTATACATACAAATGTGTCAGGAGCTAAACATCTTGCTTTTACAAGAATTTGATTAGGTAAGCATAATTCCAACGCTGCACAAAGTTCTTGCTCATAGCTGGGAGTTGATAGAAACAAATAATTCCACCGGTTTTAAATCTTGGAGTGAAGAAGGTATGGAAACTAATAATAAGCGTCTCAGATACTTCAGGGAAAAACTATCAAGAAAAATTATCCAATTGGTCAATATAGAAGATTGCTTTAAAAGACTTTGGCTCGGGTCTGACCCATTAGTTGCAGAAGAACGGAGCAAAGGGCTGTTATTTTGCAAAAACTGCTTGGATAGAGGGCATTCTAAACGCTCATGTATGCGCAGAAGTGCATCAGCTGATTTTATTTTAAACAATCTTTTTGTTTGTAAATAAATTAATTTTGTAACATATGTGTATTTGTTAATTTTTCAAAACCAAGTTCTTAGACTTTAACCTTAAGATGGCAATTTTAAAACTCATTTTTTTAAAAAACTGCTAGTGGGGCCAACTTAAGCATAGCAGCAAATGAAAACTTTTGTTTTGTATTTCGGAAATCATTTAAGGTTTAGTATGGCACCATTAGCGGTTTTTGAGATATTCACCAAAATGTTCAAAAACTATAACAAAATCATGTGCAAAAATTCACAGTTTTTATATACATTTTATGAAAATTATCCAATTTGCTTTCTGAAATACTATTATTATTAGCCAGAAAAATATTTTTTAGTTAGGCTCATTATCCTTTATTGTTAATTAATAATTTTCCAAGTTTTAGATCAATAATCTTTTTTTTTTCATCACTTTTTTCCGATTGATACTCAAAAACTCTGTTGGGTTTTAAAGTGTGTTTTTTCTTCCAAATTGTTCAAGTTTCCATGGCCGTAACTTTTTAAATAGACAAAAATTTTAACTTTTTTTTTTGTAGCTTAAATCTGCATGGCTATTTAAGTATACAAAAATTAAGTTAAATGTTAATTTCAAAAAATTAAATTTTTTACTCATGTCCACCATTTAAACCACTGTGCCTCGTGGCCATATCGCTGTCTTTATCGTTACGATTATAGCTAGCTATTCGCTAGCCGATTTCCCACGGGGATGTATAAAAAACATTCTGCCTGTTAGAGAAAAACAACAATAATTTTGTGTTATGTTCGATTTATATATGTTAAACTTAGGAGCAATTTTTATATCTAGAAAAGTTGGCAGAACACAAACGAGGTAAAAAGATTTCTCACCTTGCATGTGCCGGACGCATTTTAATTGTTAAATTATGTAATTATTGTGTTAACTGTGAAATTGTATAATAAATATGTAATTATTTTCATAATGTTGTGCTAAGAGTAGACGATTTTTTGTCTGGCTATTCTGTAACGTCATTTTTTTTCGCTAATGCATTTTTCTATCTACCGGAACAAATATGTTGCTGTAGTCTTTCTTTGATCTTAGACACAGACACATTAAAATATTGCATAGTTTTTGCTTTTTTTTTTATACTTTCGCTGTTCTTAAAAATTTTAGTTTAGAATTAATTCAAATTTTTACAATTGCAGTATGATAAAAAATAAGATATTTATAGATAATGAACTTAATTTAAACCTATCTTTCCAAATGTTGGCATTTGGCAACACAAACTTTAAATTCAAAAATCAAACCTGTTTTATCTTTTTTTTTAATTTTAAGTAATGCTTAAGTTTTGCTACTTCCTACTAGATAGCAACATATGCAATTTAAAAATGATTTGCAATTGTTTTTTGAAAATATTGAATATCATTGTAATTTTATTTTTTGTAAATTTCATATATTGGGAGAGAAGGGTTAAACTTTTTCTTTGTTGAAACTAAACTTTTTCTTTGTAGAATACATTTTTAAAATTTAAACAATTTTAAAAATGTATTCTACAAAATAGAGAGCTCAATGTTCTTAAAAGAACAGAGCAATTATAAATTAGTAGAAAATCACTTAACAAAAGATTTTTTCATTTTACACTGTGTTTCATCAATAAAGACTCATCAGAAATGATGATCAAATTAATAAAACT